AGTGTAAAATTCCTCGCTATAGTGATATCAGTTGCTCTTCTTGGCCGTGGTTTTTCCCCTTATTCAGAAGGGTTTCCACGTAAAATCTTGGTGTCATTATTGCTGCATTTCTATTCTTGCTGATTTAACCATAACTTAGTGTTCTACTTTTATCACTAATACCGTGAATACTATTTTTACGGGGTTTATTCCCAACATGGATAAATTACTAACAAATAACTCTAGCATTGGACATATCTGATGAGATGCATGTCTATGATAATTTCGATGTTTCATGATAAAGAAGAAACATCTTCCAGTGACTCGATGTGAGTGGCTGTTGTGACTTGTGAATTGTCACTTGTCAGCTTAAGGAAAGTGCTGGCATTAGCCGAAGTGGACTTGTGCTCTTGTTGTTCAGTATCACACTACTTGCTTGGCCAGATAAGTGAGGTGTATGACGTGAATTTCCTTGGGAAGAGCCTAAATATCTATTGCTTTTTTGCTTAGCCTACTTGTATGCATGAAGGCTTATATCTTAAAGAAAGTAGTCTCTGAGCTCTTGATATATAAGTTTGTGATAAAATCTGTTTCTTCAGTTTTCACATTCTTCCTCTGAGGCATTTAGATATTGAAAATCAATGATTGAATTATTACCTCACTCCTGCTGCAGTGGAGCATTACTTCAATAAGGAGACGGATCAGAAGCAGCCTCTTCATCATGGAGGAAAAGGAAGTCTTGAAAAGCCACAATCATCATCTTCATTTGGAGGAACAACAACTAAAACAGTGGTGAAAGATGGCCAGTCAGGAAGAAGCACTCGTAAGTACTTGTAGACATGTGGGGTAAAGTTTTAGTGGTAATGGCCAATGACCCGTGGTTATTTTCATTTTAACTGTTAATCTGGTCATTCCCAGAACTGAAGAAAGCCACCAGTAGCTCACGGGAAAGACACGGAAATATTTCTGTGACAAACGGCACTGTTGCCAGAACTGAAGTAAAGTATTCTTGTTGTATTTCTCCTACTAGCCTATCTGATTCTCATGCTTTGAAGAAGAGGAAGCTTCTAGACTCTTCAGGTTTCTTTCTTACCTGTAACAAGCTCTTAGAATCAGATGGCAAGTATTATGGATGTTGACTGTTTGAGGATGATGCTGCAGGTACTGCACCGTTTGAACAACATAAGGTCATGCAATCTAAGAGTCAGGTTACAAAAGTGGTAGAAAAAGGTGATTAATCGCAAAGATAATGGGTTCTTGTAAATTCATATATTTGAGCTTAACTGTTAATCATGTCATTCCCGAACTGATAAATTCATCAATTAATTTAGGTGGACAAGGCAATATTTCTGTGACAGACAAGACTGTTGCTGGAACTGAAGTAAAGCATTCATATTGTACCTCACCTACTAGCTTATCGAATATCCATGCTTTGAAGAAGAGAAACCTTCAAGATTCTTTAGGTTTCTTTCTTACCTGTAACTTTCTCTTCGAAACAAATCATTATGGATGTTGTCTGATTGGGGATATGATCATACAGGTACTGCACCATTTGAACAACGTAAGGTCATGAAATCTACGAGTCAGGTGATCGAAATAACAGCATGGGTGAAGGAGGCAATTCCCTTTTCCTTTTCTTTTTTTTTGAGTATTAGGTCCAGTGAAGTATTTGATTTACATAGAAAACACTTTTCCTCCTTTCATTTTATAAACATTTCAAAGAAAATCAAATATTGAGGTATTTGAAATCTCTGATTGCTCATATCCATATTGCACAGTATTTCTCTTTTAGTTCCCGATTATTGATGTACTGCATCCTGCTTTTATGAGCATGGACATTGGTTGTTTGGTTTGTAATAAAGTTATAACTTGATTATTTGTTCTTGTTTATATCTGATGGCGTTTGCTGGCCTCATCTGTTGTGTAACTAAGCCTCAGGTCGATTCCTGATATGAGTGATTGGATACATTAAAGGAGCTTTTCACCTGTTTTGAATTTGGAAATTTTCCTGATATGATCTCTTTTATCTTGCAGGGTGCTAGCACATGGTTCAAGGAGCAGGTCAGTTTCCTGTTCCCATTGTTATATTTATGAGGAAGTGTTGCTTTCAGTATGAGAGAAAAGGTGTAAGTTGTTTGGAAAGGTGCTATATGCTTCATCTGTTTAGGGAAAAGTAGAAATAGTTAATTTGTAACTCCCGGTGTAGCTTTTACGTTTACTTTTTAATTGGTGAGTTGGGAAGGAGAGAAGAAACACGTGTCCTTCCAGGAAAAAGAGATTTTCTGTTATTGGGAGTCTCCAAAGTAACGGATGCCTGCATTTGTGCTGGTAACCTTGCAACTCACACTTGTACTCCTCAAAAATGAATCCCTGCATTTGTAGGACTAGGTCACCTTTCTTGAAGAATGCTCTTAGTATCCAGAAAGGGAACTCTATTCCCTAGGCCTAGAATTATAAGTAAGAAGGAATATCTTATTTTTCTTTAGAATTTTCGCTTTTCATGTTCTATTTGACATCTGCAATATAGAATATGGACTCCTTTCATCTCTTATAAGTCTTTGATAAGGGTATTGCTTGGTGATACAATGGCCCCTTCATACAAGAGTTATTGGCTATATGCAAAATTTTGAAAGAATAACTAAAATTGAGTATTTGAAGTCTGAAATTCATACATAACTACTCTATGGAATGACATTAGGAAGTCTATTTCCATCCCAAAAAAAAATTGAAAATAAGAAGTCTTACAAGTTAGAGTTTTTACATTATAAAAAAGGCAAATTAGAGCATTTACATGTAGTCAATTATCAATGCAAATTTTGGTATCCAACTGCAGAAGTCAATTATCAAACAAATATAGCTTACTAGCGAAGCTTGAGCGCTGTTCAAAGTTTTTGCGTTTTTCTTTAGTATTCATGGATTTTGATAAGAACTTGACTGCAATGTCTGTAACGCAATAATCTGCTTCTGGGAAGGGACTGCATTTGTTACTGGTGATGGGTGCCTGTTTTCCTGTAGACCACATTGTTTATGACTTCGTGCTCCATTCTCTTCATATTTTTCCTTTTTATTCCCATAAAAATACCATGTAGCAGGTACTATCATATAATCAAGTTAAAGGAGTGGTCGGCAAAAAAAAAAAATTATTAGATGCTTGTTTTCTTACTTCACTAGTCGCAGTCACTTAAATTGTTTCGTGTGAAAGAATATGAGTTTCTGTAACAACTCAACTCATATCCTTTATAAAGAAAAGAACCCTTTTCTCTTGTTTGATTTTAGTTCCAAGAGCCTTTTGTTTGACCTCTTTCATTTGGGAGGTGGCTTCTTTTCTCCATAACATTTACAATGGGCTTTGTGGTCTTGGATGGTTAAATGCTAATGAGATCTTGGAAGCATAATAAGGAAAATGTTAATGGTCTCTGGGTCCTTGTTTTCCTTGTGACCACATTATTCTCAACTTCGTGCTCCACTCCCTTCATATCTTTCTTTTTGTCAATACCATGTGGCTGTGGCAGGTTGTCATAAAATTAAGTTAAAAGAGTGGTTTGGTAAAAAATGTCTTAGGTACCTATTGTCTTACACTCTTACTCACTGCACATATCCACTTGATCTTTTTGTGTAAAAGAATCCTGGGCTTCCTTGACAAATCCACTAATGTCTTTTAATAAGAAGATAATTCCTCTTTCTTGTTTAATGTTTAATTCTATGATATTTTTCTTTGAGCTCTTTCATTTGAGAGGTGGGCTTTCTTATCAGAAACATTTACATGGGCCTTATTATTCTTGGATGATTTAATGCTAGTGACATCCAGGTATAAAAAAGGCACAATGAATGCTCTCCTGTGCTTCAATTGAGAACGTTTGTATTCTATTGATGGTGTGGGGGGAGACATGGTCAAATGTGTCTTTTCAGATATCAAGGGGTTGATAAAAGATTTATGGAACTTTTCTTTTGCAAAGTGTTAGTTCCTCTTTGGAACGTCTGATATGGTCGGAATGTTGGATACTTAGATATCTGAAAACCACTTCATGTTCTTCCTTTATCAGTGGTGGACCTTTTCGCTCCACCAGGAGTCAAGTGGTTAGTGGGTCAATTTTTGGATCCATTCTGAACTCAAAAGAAATTTGAAAGCCGTATTTTGGAATCTGTTACATATTGTTGATGCTCTACTTGGGAAAACCTCAAATGCTACATGAATCTGGTGCCTCTGTAGATCTCTCTCCTGGCCTTTTTTCTTTGGGTGGTTGGTGGGAAAGCAGGAGTTGCTAATTCGCCTATATTGAGTGGGAGAAGAGTTGGAGAGAGATTTTGAAGTTTCTTTTTTTTTTCCCCACATAACTTTTTGAAAATCTGAGAAGTTTTTTCTTGAAAAAAATGATGCAGAAGTTAAGGTTACTTCTGTTGACATCTCTTAATTGTTGTTATATTATGTTAACTTCTTTTCAGAGAAGTAATTGTACTCTTTAATTCTTGTTTAGCTCCCTTCAACTTCTCCTCACTGGGCAAAGTAAGCCAATATGGGCAATCCAATTTTGACTTGATTAAACTAACCAACACTTGGAATAGCAAAAGTAAATTGATGTAGCATCTGAAGTTGCTGTGAACCCAGCCTGTCCAAAAATGACTAAAAAGAAAAAAAATCATGCGAAGTTTCTGTTATTTTTGAATATTACTACTACAATTTGTTGGTTTAGTTGGGTCTTAGACTGTGGAAGCATTCTGCTCTATACTGGACGAAGTATAGGAGTAGACATTGTTCCGTCACCTATGTTTTGGCTGTTATGTGGTCATTTTGGATAGGGAAGAGAAATAGGGTACTCTAAAGATTAAAAGACTTTAAATCATGCTCTTTTGTGTAGTTCCATGTGGCATTTTTAGTTTCATTTTACAATGAACTTTTGAATAGCTGATCAGGGAGTAGGCACCTATTTGTTGTTTTCCTCATTTCCTTTTTGTCTTTGACTACTTTGTCAACTGCTCCTTTCGATTCTCTAAACTTTACTGGGACTTCCTCGAAGTGCTGCTTCTGTTCTCATGAATATGTATACATTGATAATTTTTTAGCCTCAAAGCAGTTATTTACTCTATATTTTGTGATTTGCATATGCTATTTTGTTCCATCCAGCCATGGAATGAAAGACTCCATGTAGCTCAAGAGCGAGGCACACTTGTGTTGCTTGAGAATCTTGATCCTTCATATACATCAGCAGAAGTGGAGGTACATACTAAACTATTTTCAAGTTGACTATGTGCTTTATTTTGCCCATTTGAGTAATGAAAATTGAAATAGAAATGTTTCTTTATGTCACGACCCTGAAACCGACCCGGTTGTGATGACGCCTATCGTAAAACTAGGCCAGCCGACAGAAATTCCAAATCTAATCAGTATTTCATAAAGTCATTTTTTAAGCTATGAATTAACAGAATCTCATAACATAAGTCTAAATAACTAGTGCGGAAGAAAATAATACAAACTCGACATCAGGATGTCACAAGTCACGAGCAACTACAAGATTTGTCTAAGTACAAGAACAGTCTGTGTAAAATAACATACTAAGAACAGTCTGAATAAGGTAAGAAGGAGAAGTGCAGTACTGCGAACACCAAACAGCTACCTTGCCAACTCTGAAGACTTGTTGGAAGAACGATCAACACTCACTATCGTGACCCGCAACTCCTGGATCTGCACACAAGGTGCAGGGAGTAATGTGAGTACGCCAACTCAGTAAGTAATAAAAGTAAATGAAAGCTGAGTAGTAAAAAAACAAATAATTCCATGTCATAGCACTACAACAAATACAGTATGTTCCCAAATCAGTACAGAAATCAATTAACTCGTAAAACAACTCAGTTTTAATAAAACCTTTTCTTTTAAAGACATCTTTCAATAGTTAACAAGTGATGAAATAGAGAGTAAAAATGATAGAAATGTAAACAGCACCTCGGGCAAGACATGTACCATAAACGGCCCCTCAGGCAAAATATCAACAGAACCAGCCCTTTGGGCTACCTCACAATCGCTCGTAAACATGTCCTCAGGCAATATCACATCACTCACACTGGGTACCCGCGCTCACTGGGAGTGTTCAGACTCCGGAGGGGTTCCTACAACCGAAGTGCTATAACAAGCCATTTCGTGGCATAATAAATCAGGCCCTCGACCTCTTATATATCACAAATCAGTACAACATGCTGCGGCGCGCAACCCGATCCCATGATATCCTCACAACACAGGCCCTCGACCTTACTCAGTCAGAAACCTCTCAAGCCACTCGGGCTAACAATGAAAACGGGGTGCTCAGCCCAAAAATATCATTTATAATATCAAAATGGAGTAAATAAGGCTGAGTTATGAAATCAGTAAAAACACAGCATAACTGAGTACAGATATTAAGTCAAAACAGTGAGGAATAGTAGTAAAAAGCCCCTAAGGGTCCAAATAGATTGGCACGAGGCCAAAATATGGCATTAAGCCCAAAACATAGTAATACTTTCCAAAACACAATGATATCAACTGCTCTCTCCGTTCAAATTTATGTGAACTTGTTTGATTGGGACACGAAGTTTAAGAAAAAACGAAGACTTTTGGAATTTGTGGTCCTAAACAAGTCAAAAAGGGGCCTAGAATATTTGTGTGGCTATAAAAGCTTCTCATTAAGGGTAGAATTGTAAGTTTAAGCTAAATTGTTTCCAAATTTAGAAAGGGTTGATTCTTTTTGGAACTGACCAAAAAGGAAATAAGTTCCATAAACTGGAACGGAGGGAGTAGTTTTCAGCCAAATATGCGACTTATTAGTCATACGGGACGGACCAAGTCACAATCCCCAACAGTGCACGCCCCCACGCTCGTCATCTAGTGTGTGCGTCACCTCAAAGTAGTGAAACGATGTGAAATCCGGGGTTTCATACCCTCAGGACAATATTTACAATCATTACTTACCTCAAATTGATCAAAACTCTAACCTGCGATGCCCTTGCCTCTCGAATCGGCCTCCAAATGCTTTGAATCTAACCAAAATCAGTATTACATCATTAATACACTCTAAAGGAACAAAGCCCAAGCGAAAATAATCAAATTAACTCAAAATCCCGAAATTGGCCAAACCCGACCCCGGTCCCACGCCTCGGAATCCGATAAAAATCACAAAACTGGAAAACCCATTCGCTCACGAGTCTACCCATATCAAATCACCAAAATCCGACATCAAATGGCTATTCAAATCCCCAAAATCAACTCTCCAAATTTTTCTTCCGTTTTTCCCAATTTTCACCCCAAATTCCCAAATTAAATGATAAAAATCAAGACATAATCATGGGATTTAACCAAATTTGAGTGAAGAACACTTGCCCCAATCACTCCTTTGAAAATCCCCTCCAAAATCGCCTTCTACCGAGCTCTCTAATGAATTTGAAATTATGGACCAAAACCCTCGTTTTTGAACTTAAACATTCTGCCCAGATGTTTTCTTCTTCGCGAACGCGGTAGCTCCCTCGCGTTCGCAAAGCACAACTGCCTCTGACCTGGAAATCCTTCTATGCGAACGTGATGCCCCACTCGCGAACGCGTACCTTAACCAGCTCAACCATCGTGAACGCGACGCCCTCCTCGCGAACGCGATCCATACTCAGATCAAACCTTCGCGTTCGCGGCCTCCCCTTCGCGAGCACGTAGAACAAAATTCCTCTGCTCTCAATAACCCTTCGCGAACGTGATAGCCTCCTCGCGTACGCGAAGATGGAATTCTTTGCAACAAAATACCAGAAATCTGCCAACTTCTAAAGTCAAGAATTGGTCCGTTAACCACCCGAAACACACCCGAGGCCCTCGGGACCTTAACCAAACATGCCAACATATCCCATAACATCATTCAAACTTGTTCCAACCTTTGGAACATTCAAAACAACATCAAATCACCCTTAGATTCAAGCCTACGGATTTCCAATCTTCCGAATTCCGCAAACGATGCAAAAACCTATCAAACCTCATCCGGATTACCTAACATTTTGCACACGCATCACAAATGACACAACGGACCTACTCCAATTTCCAGAATCCCAATCCGACCCCGATATCAAGACTTCCACTGTCGACCAGAAAACGCAAAAATTCCAATTTCGCCAATTCGCCTAAACCTACCGCGGACCTTCAAATTACATTCCGAACACGCTCCTAAGTCCAAAATCACCTAACGGAGCTATCCGAACCATTAGAATTTACATCCGAGACCTTCTACACATAAGTCAACATCCGGTTAACTTTTCCAACTTAAACTTATTTAAAAGAGATTAAGTGTCTCATTTCAGTCACTCCAAACACATAACAACCAATACGATATGATGAAATACAGCTGAACAACACATAACAAAGTAGAAATGAGAGAAACGGAGCTGTAACTCATGAAATGACCGGCCGGGTCGTTACACTCTAGGTGTCACTCTTACGTTAATTCATTATTTAGACATTCATATTTTTCCATTTTTTATTCGGGAGTATTGTTTCTAAAGCTCTTGTAAGTCCAGATGTATGCGGTGAATGCTTGTGTTCCCTTTTCTTTCTATTTTCTTCTTTATTTTTGGATGAAAATATAAATTTTACCTGAATTACATTTCTTGTATTCTACATGAACTTTTCTTTTAAAATTATTGCTATTCCTCGGGAAAATTTCAAGAGCAAACTTTTGAATATCCTTACATCAACTTAGGTTAACCAAGATTACTGCATCTAGCTTCAGATTTGTTATACAAATTTGTTTCACTTAACTTTGTTTTGCCAGCCCTTTAACACATGTTAATTTTCATCTTCAATCCACTATCGTTAGTGAGTCTATTAGTGGGGAGGGTAGTCTTATCCCTAAAAAAACATAGTGAACCACGGCTCTGTCAGAGGAGGAAAAAGTGAAAAGCTTAGAAAATGAAATTATAACATTACGGAATTATTCAAATATTTTATTTAAGTTGATATCTACTGGAGCTCGGTAGACTTTGAAGCTTGTTTGGACCGGAGAAGTTACTTTCTCCTTTTAAAAAATCATTATTTTGGTGAGTTAACCTACGCGGTTAAGCTTCTGAGAAGAAGGGGATTACTAGCTTGTTTGACTAAGCTTTTGGGAAGCCAAAAGTGTTTTTTTAGTGTTTATTTTTTTAAAAGTGCTTATTTTAGAGAATTAAGTGTTTGACCAAGCTTTTAGGAGAAAAAAGGGCTTTACAGTAGTGGCATCAACAGTTTTTCAGAAGTTGAAAAAAGTAGTTTTTTCATGAAGCACTTTTGGAACTTTGGCCATTCACAAATTGTTGTCATAATATTGGCAAAATGATTTTCAAGTTAATTAGCCAAACACAAACTGCTACTCTCCAAATACTTTTTGAAAAACACTTGTGACAGAGCACTTTTCAAAATAAGCAAATCTTGAAAGTTTGGCCGAACGAGCTAATATGAGTAGGAGTAGAAGCAATTTTTTGTTGTTGTTGCATAAAGCAGAAATTTGTGGTTTCCTTGAAGCCAATAGTTTTTATCATGATCAAAAATACCTTATCAAAATTTTATATTATCAAACCGTCCCTCCTTAATTTAATCGATGTCTCTCACACTCTCGTTTCTTGCATGCCTCTGAGATAAAATTGAAAAACTTAATACTCCCTTTGTTCTATTTAATGTGATATTGCTTGCTTATTAATTTGTTCCAAAAAGAATGACATACACTATATAACAGCTATTCACTATAAAAGTCGAGTTATTGTCGAAATCGAATATTATATTATGTTATAATATATGTTCACTATAACAACACTTCACTATAGCAGTCAAACAATTTCGGAACAAACGAGGCTGTTATAGTGAGGTTCTGTATTTCTATATTAGGAAATCATGTAACTTTAAACTTTCCTTTATCCTGAATGAGAAGCCTTTATAGCCACACTATGTTTAAAATTATAAGTTCCAAAAGGTTTATAGCCGAACAAATGTTATGGCATATTTAAGGACACATGTTTCAAAAAATCTTTAGTTCTTTTCAAAATCTCGTATCGAGTTAAACTACCTCAGATAAATTTGAACATAGGAAATCCTACTTTACATGTAATTTGACAACTAAAGATACTCTTTGGAATGATTGGTCAAACATGTTGTTTTTCTAATATTGACAAAAATGTTTGTCAAATGATTTAGCCAAACACAAATTGCTACTCTTTTAAAATACTTCTGAAACGCTCTGAAATTTGCTACTCATCAACTGCCCTCCAGGATATTGTCGGGCGTGCCTTGGAACAAAAGGTTAGTGCAAAAATGGTGCAACATAATACCTTCTCAAATTCACTGAATGGTAGGCCATCATGTATCTTCTTCTTTAAGTCGTGGAGCACAAAAAAAAATCTCAGCGAACTCGATGTTGCTTATTAGAATAAACACTTGCAGGGAAAGCATTTGTTATCTTCAAATCAAGTGAGCATGCAGAGACTGCCATTTCTAAATTGAAAAAGAGATGCCTTATGTTAGGTGATGGAAGGTACTAGATCTATTTAACAAGTTTTATATCACTTGTGCTTGTCTTGTTGATTAGATGTTTCTATGCACTGTTTCTACATCCATCTTGCTAGTTGGCATCCGTTTCTTTACAAACTATGCTATGGTCATGGTCTTCAAAGCCCTTGATGACATGAGGTTGATGGTATAATTAGTGTAGTATTTTAAAGGGCACGGGCGTGAGGTAATGCGCAAGCCTCGATGGAGCATAAGTCCCATAGATATTTATTGTTTACCATTTTTATAAATTAATAAAATAAGCATATAAATCACAAAAAAAATTGTAAAAAATTCAAAAATATTGTAAAATTAGTGAAATATATATAAACATGCTAATATGTGCACAAACTTTACAAAAGAATTTTTTTTTTATACTTGGAAAAGTGAAAGATGCCTCTCTACCTTCTCAATGTAGGGGTAAGGTCTGCATACACACTGCGCTCCCCAGACTCCACATGTGGGATTACACTTAGCTTTTTATTGTTGACTTGGAAATGTGAAAGACGGTAAGATGCATTAAATGTAAAATGATAGTTCCTAACGATTTACCAAAAAAAGACTATTATAAAGATTGTGTGAATGCCTAAAGCCAAAAAAAAATTACAAATACTCATCACAACACAGATAGAACATCTTTTGAATAAAGTCTCCATAGCAATATCTAAAGCTAGAGTAATACCAACATGGAATTCCAAAATAAAACTAACTTGAAAAGAATAAAAAGAGAATGAATAAGAACTTTGAAGACAAGCGTGGAATTAGAGCAAATGTTGGAGGACAAAGCTTTTGCTTTGTTGTTTGCACTTTACAGACAAAGAGAAAGAATTATGAAATTAGGGTAAACAATTAAAAGAGACCTTTGACTTTTGAGTTATTTTAGTTTGAGAATTTAAAATTAGCTAACTTCTTAGTATTATAAGTTTTAAAAAAAGAAAATTTTAAGTAATTTTGATTCTGATTTGGGAAAGTTTTTTGGGCTTATGCCCCAAATCAGTCCACCTCAATATGTTTTTAGCTAGCCTCGCCTAGAAAATGTTTTTGAAACATTTGATAAATTAGTAATATCAAGAAGTCTAGAGGTCACTTATGATGGTGTAATCTTAACTTTGTTCTTTCTTAGAGAATTAGCGACAAGCCTCAAGGTTAATTGTGATATTTAATATCAGCTCTGTCTGTGTTATCCATTTGATGATTGTCATGGTAGAAGTCATACATGTTATTTATACTTAACCATCTCATGGAACTAGGTTTTTTGATTTGTAATTGTTGAAGTGCGTGATCATCTCATCTAAAAATTTTAAGTTGTTAGAGAGCACACTTTTAATTACGTAATCAAGTTTTCAACATGTCCACTTACATGTGGGCTTGATTCTTTTTAATGAGCCAAACACATAAAAATTATTGTTGATGATGTGTGGTGGTGAGACTCGAATCAAGAACTTTTGCTTGCTCTTATACCATGTTAAAGTGTGTAACCATCTCATGTAACAGCTTAAGTTGTTAGAGAGACCACACTTATAATTACTTAACTAAGCCTTCAACAGTCATCTAGAGAAACAATTTGCGAGAATAGCTTCTCAAGGGTAATAAAATTAGTCAGTCTGTACTTGACATCATGAACCGATGTCATGAAAACAAGCTTTCGTTGAGTTGTTGCTTGTGCTTCTTGTTGGTAATATTTATTTGAAATTTGTCTTGGATTTAGGAACTTTTGTGATTACACTTTTAATGGAAATAGCTGAATGAAACGTGAAAAATATTTATGGTGAGGGAGATGATGTCACCATTGTTTATGTATTGTTAAGGCCAGTTGTTGCTCGGAGAGGAACTATAGAGGAGCCAGTGAAATGTAGTGGCCTTCCTGGCCATCTGTCCATTGGTAGAATCAAATTTCAAAAGCTAGGAGAAGAAATGGTATGCATTTCACTGCACAAATGACCTCGTCTCCCTTAATTTGCGATTTGTTGATCCAATTTGATAGTTCAATTTCTCTTGTAAAGAGAAAAGCAGTATCAACATCACACCACTCTCAGAGTAACACAATCGAACATGAGATGGCCGTCGAATGGCGTGCACTACAGGAAAAGTCAAGCCTTTGGTGGAAAGCTTTACATGAGGTGATTATGAAGAGCTTATTTTCTATCTCTCCCTCTTCTGTCTTTTCCCTTCTGCCTATATAGCTCCTCCCCTGCTTGCTGCCATTTGCCTGTCCTTTCTAAGTCTATCCGCTTTTCTTGTTGCAAGAAACAAGCAGCAGAGATTGAACTACTTAGGGGCAAGTTGAAGAGCCCTATTTGGAACTAAGCCCTGTATAGGATCTAACCGTAAGTTTAATCCACTTTTCACCCTTTTAGTCTTTTTTTTCAACCTTTGCTGTGATTATTCTTTTTCTCGTCCCTGTAGTGTTAAGAGGATTGACATCATTTCTTTTCCACAGGGACTCTTTTTGTTGGTTTCCTTGTGTACAAGCGGTATACAGAGGTGCCCCCTTTTTGGATATGGGATTGCACCTAAGCATAGAGTAGTACAGAGATTACAGATTAGTATTATCTGATGATAGAATGCAATTCTTTTTGTGCAGCACAACACTGCATTGCTGTGAATTCGAAAGTTGTACACAGTTAGTCAGTTATAGGAAATTGGTGCGGTTTGACTTTCTTTCCACATCATAACAACCAGATTCTTTTTTCTTCAAAAAACCAACATTAAGTCCCTAATCATATATCTACTTAAGAAAAACATATATCTACTTAAAATTCGTACAGCATCGCATGTTTACAACTCAAATGATAAGCCAGCTTGTGTTAAGGAGTAATCTCTTTACTCATTTGAATATAGGTAGTTTTAGAAAACTTTGAACTCCCCCTGTTTTCTCAATATGATGTACTCCCTCCGTCTCATAATATATGTCATGATTCTCTTGTGCACGCCCTTAAGAAAGAATAGTTTTGACTACTCTACCCTTATTAAATGTTTTCTCAATTTATGTGTCATCTCTATTAATGAAGTTATCCATATTTTTACTAAACGTGAATGCAATTGATTATTAAGGGTTAAAAAGGAAAAATATAATTAATTTTGTCTTGAATTTCTAAAATGATAAATAATTTGAGACAATTATTTTTAGCAACCATGACACATATTATGAGAAGGATGAAGTATTACTTTTACCTTTAAAATGACTTTGACCAAAGTCTTCTCTATAAATAAATATTCCCAATGTGGACGAAAAGCTTTGGATGGAAAAAAATATATAACGGCTTTGACCAACGTCCTTTTAATATTTTTTAATTCATGTATGTCAATAATGTACGTACATGCCATATTGCCATTTTTCGCCAGATTCGTGATCTATAACTCTATAACTAACAAAAGAACAAGGAAAATCCCCGATTTACTACCTTTAAAAACTACTAGTGTCATTACCCGCATACAAAATATTAATCTTATAAAATTATGAACTAATATATTTTATTATTTTAATAAATATTAGTTTTTATTTTCTTATTTAATGTAGCATGCGGAAATATAACAAATCTATACAAAATCAAAGGATACACATCATATAGTAATCAAATAAATCATTGTCCCTTTTTTTTTTTTTGTTAAATTAGCAAGTATTTAGTATTATCTATTTACTAATGTGATTTTTATAATCTTGTCAATTGACTTAATATTTTGATACTACTTCTCTTTTAATATAACATGGATATATATTTTCTTACTCTAGAAATATTTTTATTCTTAAAACTTGTGTTATACTGTTCAAAATTCTCTAAATTTATCAATAATATTTTTGAGAGTTATTTATTTATCTTTTATTTTTTAATTAATTCAAAATATAACTATCATAAAATTATCCTTATCCCCCTCTTTTCGTCATTTTTTTTACTATAATATTTGATTAATTTTCTCAATTTGTAAGTTACTGATAACTTAAATAATGTAATATTTTTTTTACTAAATTAAAATTTTAAATTCATCAAAATTATAAAGAGATAAGCCTTTTATTATCTATATAAAAAACCTACCAATATTTTTAAGAATTATTAATTTATGTTATATATATAATATGCTTATTTTATATATAGATGTAGATTTGAATGAACAGTTTTTTTAATTTATGTTTTTTATTATTAAATATTTTTTTTTATTTTATAGATATTTAAATTCAAAAACAATAATCAGTAACTAATTATTAACGTTTTATGCCATGTGACTTTTTTGTAGGCTGCCACTTGACTTAAGGACGGAGCTTATAATACTTACATCTTTATCTTTAAAATTAGTTAAAATAGGGGTATTATTTTTATCTTTAAACTCAATTTTTTATTAAAAAAATTTATTAGTTAAAATAGGGCAGTAGGTCGTATCTTTAGAAAAATCTTATTACTCTCTTCCCATTTAAATTTAAAAAAATCTTACCTTTCAATTTAAATTAAATGTTATTGTACATATTGTTCTAAATTGCCAGATGGCTTTATAATAACTTGACACCTTGCTTAACCACAATGCAAACATTATTTCTTTAATTAATTTTCATCCTTCTTTCCATTAATTATTAAAGGAAAGAAAGGTAGGGGCATTTGTATCTATACCCGCTTTTTGTGTCACGTTTTAACTTGTGCCCGCTATGCAAAAAAAATTGCAAGCGTACCCGCTTTTTCGCATAACTTCAGCATACGGGGCTGAAGTAGCAAAGGCAATCACGCAAAACTTCAGCATTCTAGTAGCCGGGCCTGAAGTTCAGCTCTAGAGCTAAAGTTTTTTTTTTGTAACTGTTGAACTTCAGCTCTAGAGCTGAAGTTTTTGTTTGTTAGCTTCAGCTCTAGAGCTCAAGTTTTTGTTTGTAAGTTTCAGCTCTAGAGCTGAAGATTTTGTTTGTAAGCTTCAGCTCTAGAGCTCAAGTTTTTGTTTGTAAGTTTCAGCTCTAGAGCTGAAGATTTTGTTTGTAAGCTTCAGCTCTAGAGCTAAAGTTTTTGTTTTGTAACTGTCGAACTTTAGCTCTAGAGCTGAAGTTTTTGTTTTTGTAACTGGCGAACGTCAGCTCTAGAGCTGAAGTTTTTGTTTTTGTAACTGGCGAAAGTTTTTGTTATTATTATTATTATTTGTATTTGTGAGAAAGTAGTATATGCATATGTCCCTGCTTTTCCAGTTTTTGCACTGATTTCTTAAGTGCATTGGCGAAAAAGCTTAAGAAGAATAGCCTGCTTTGGAGAATCATCATCGAATTTATGTCCCTCCAGGTGTTGCCTTAAAACGTGAGAAGGATGAACCGCTTCGAGTCAATATACTCTTCAAGCACATCCAGGTAAATATGAATTGTGATTAACACAGAGCACTTTAGAACTGAAGTGTAAATTCCATTATCGATTGACAGTATAAGAGATTTCATGACGCTACATACAATAGAATGAAGGAGGAATTCTTATATTCCCTGGAGGTTTTAATTTGTTCCCATTGCTTTTTCGTTCACAGGAAATGCTTAGTGGCAACATTGCGGTGATTGCAGAAACAGGGGATTCATGGTTTAATTGTCAGAAGTTGCATGTTCCTGAAAATTGCGGGTAAGCTAGACTCGACTTTATTCTGAATTGTGCTTGTGATAAGACGTATATGCATATGTCCCTGCTTTTCCAGTATTATGAACTAAATTCTTGTGTTTATAATAATAAGAAGCACCAACAACAGCAGAAGAAAAAAGAAGAAGAAGAAGATAACGAAGGAGGAGAAATAGGCAGAGAAAGGGGCTGAAGTTATTTAAAAAGTGGGTACAAGTTAAAAGTTTTTAGAAAAAATGGGTATAGGTTAAATGGGGGCGACCAAATAGGGCGCCCCATGCAATTTTTACAGAAAGGTAAATTAAAATTTGAATTAATTTGTTTCCATTTTGATTTCAGTAATTAGTCATCTCTTTGTTCTAAGTTTGCCAAATGGCTTCTTAAGAGCTAGCCACTTGGCTTAATCACAATGCAAACTTTATTCCTTTAATATATATGTATATACTAGTATCTACAAACGTGCGTTGCACGTTAATAATGATACGTGATGATTTAAATATTTATTTATATGAAAGAACAATAAAATTTAATTAATGAGAGAAATATGTATAATAATACATCAATCATGTGAATGCCGAAAAATATTATTACATTAGCTAATACATGAATTTAAAATAAAAGGGCATCATCAAAACTTACACAAATGATCGATTTTGTCATATTAGTTGGATAATTATATATTATAGTTTAAAAGTATTTAATGTGATGGTATCTTAACGAACATTTCGTTGTGGACAATATTTTTGTGTGTATGTTTCCTGCTAATGCTTTGGCTACTCTACCTTAAGCAGAACTCTTGTTGTCGATCTTGATATCTCTCTTAAAAGTGAAACTTATCGTTGTTCGTGCAAGAAAATATATTGCAATAAATATAGTCCAATATTTAGGATGTTTGTCCTTGTGCTTTATTTATTATATTTGCAAAATATAAACATGCTAAATATTATTTTCACACAAATTTAAAAGGATATCCTTAGTTTCAGAAGACGAAAGTTGAATTCAGGTATAAGAATATACTTAGAAGCACATTAACCAGTATCATAGTTTTTGCATGTATCACGTTATTGTCAAAACTTCTATATATTATCTGTGTGCTATTACATAAGCTATTTAGCGTATCTAAGTTTTTAGTAGCATGACAGACATATTTTTCTTCAAAATTAACCTATATACAATGGAAGATCAATTTTAACTTAGTCGATTATATAAACGGTACTAACATACGTAAGAAATAATAAACTTAACAACAAACATGTATGGTAGAAGACCATTTGGTATTAATGTATTTAAGTATCCTTCTTGGTAGTAATTATTGATATCATTTTTTGCTGAGTCAAAAATAGAAAAATATTTTGTTTCTACTATAAAATTTGGCAATCAATCTTTTATTTAGTTGATCAGTATATTCATTTCTGCTAGCTAAGATATCTTTTTAATTCTATCATGCGATTCACACAAATTAGCTTTTAATCTAATAATAAAAATATTTCTCTTATTAAATGCACTACTATTACCATTTGGATTGATAACCAAGTGTACATGAAGAACTAAATCATCTTTTATTGGATGCTCTTCTTCGTTTCTGACACGAAGCAAGAAGACACAAAATACTGGATCTGTTCTTCCTTTATATTTCTTGTTAGTTGAATCCTTTTCATTTGAGACCAGAAGCATAACTTTGGCAAGTAGCTTTTACAGTCTCTGTTTTTGTCAATTTTGGAACTACTGGTAGTACTTGACATGCACATCCCAAACCATTAATTTTTCATCAAACGGTTCATTAATATCCAATACATCTCTAGAAGTTCGGGCAATTATTTCGATCGTTTGACACTTAGCCGTAAGTGTTTCACCCCATATTATCAATTTTGCTTTCCTTATAAATTTAGCACTATTACTCTGCTTTGATATATTTGTGATAGTTGTCACACCTCATTTTTCACCCGCGCCCCCGGGAAGGGCGCAGAGGGAGTTTTTCCAATTTAAAGGACAATCAAAACGGGATTTATTATTTAATTCAAAGTCGCCACTTGGGAGATTTATGGTGTCCCAAGTCACCGGTTGAGTCCCGAATCGAGGAAAAGATTGACTCTGTATTACGGTCCGCGAACCAGAAATCTGAGTAAGGAATTCTGTTAACCCGGGAGAAGGTATTAGGCATTCCCAAGTTCCGTGGTTCTAGCACGGTTGCTCAACTGTCATA